CAGCAGACTTCGTCCGCCCCACGCTGCTGCCCCCTGAATGTCTTCCGTGTTGTCCGTGTTTCCCATGGAAGAAACGTGTGCCTCCTGTAATAAGGCAGTGACATCCTCGTCTGCTGTTACTTCTTAGTCATCTGATATATTGCATTGCCTGCGCGTTCCACTGCCATCACCGCTCCTCCGCCCACGCATCAGCCTCCTTTCGGTGCCGTGTCTGCACAGAGACGGCGTAGTTAGACACACAGGAAGGGTAAACCTATTTCTTTGAACCCCAGGAGCTTTGGTATTTGTAAATCAAGTAGTTGAGATACCTTATCATACTTCAGGAAGTCAATCTACTTGGTTGCCTTTTGGGACGCTTCCCGTCTCATAAACATACACCGGTCTTGAAGACTTAATGCTTTCTTCTGCCTTCTCGTACTGTAGTCTTCCTGCTGTAGTGATGAGTGTTGGTTTCCAGTTATGTCCCTGCTGTTTTGTGGAATATCAGAAAAAGAAACATCTTTTTGTAAGATAATTCAAGTGAAGATAAAATTAAGGATCAGTTCTAGTTTCTATTATTATTTTTGGTCTTAATTCATACTGTATTTTGAAAGCATAGTAGTGAGAACTTTTTCCAGTGATACTTTTGCAATTATCTAGTTTTAGGCTACATATAAGTAATTTTACTAATTAAGAATATCGAAAATAGCAGCTTTTTGTTAGTTTTCTTTCAAACTAAACCATCTACTCTTAAATCCAGAGGGAGATTCTGATAAGATGAAAAGGCTCATCTATGTGCATGCTGAAGTATAGAACTGGCTATTCATAGTGTGTTTCCTACAAGCACATTTTGAATTTTGCTAGATACTAATTCTTGTGACCATCTACTGTAAAATGGTGGTAAGATCCAAGAAATAACATGGTTATTATAATATTAAAGGGCTTTATTTTAATGTTCTCAATGCTTTTGCAAGCACTTTGGCTAGAGGAAGAAGTACAAAGTAATGGTGGTTGTCGGTGGGGGTATAAGTTGTGAAGAAGAAAAAAAAGGAGCCTGGGGATCTTTGTGTTAAGTAGCAGGGAAATAACAGTTACCTGGCCACTAGGACGTGGTGCCAGTTATTTAGGTGAAGAATTGATGTCTGACTGAAACATGCTATCAACGACGTTGGTTTAGTATATCGGCAACTATATACTTTGAGATATAGAATATGTATGCAAAACAAATCCAATGTAAGTAAATGTTCATTAAAATGACTTAATATGACAGTGAGTCAGAACAGTTCTTCATCAGGTAATTGGTTGCCTCCAGGCTGCATAAAAACATTTTGTTCTGAGGCCAGCAGTAGATTTTTGGGATCAGTGGTGATTTAGAAAAGCACAGTTGTCTTCTTTTTAAGGAAACAGCCAAAACTGAACTAAACAGGTGTTATAAATGATAATACGCTATTTGCATGATCTTTTTCTTTATTAATATTTAAGGCAATAAAAAGCAAGCAAACAGCGCTGGGTGCGCGGGAAGTTACCACCAACACGCACACCTTCTAATGGCACCGACGGTCTTTATATTCTTTCCGAGCTGTTCGTTTCCGTGAAGTCTCCTCCTTCTTTTGATTCTCTGTGCTTACGTGGCATCATTTATTGACGCATGCGTCTTATGATGTTGGTGGTCTTTATAGTTCTTCTGGTGGTCTTCAGGATGAAGAGTCTCTTCTTCCTCGGTGTCCTTTAAATGTCCTTTTTCGGTGCGCTGCCGCAGCCTCCCCGCCGCTGCCCACTCATCTTGCATAAGCAATATAGTTAGCCCAGTCTCAAACCGCACTGGACTTCTATATTAGCCCAATCTCAAACCCACAGATATCCTGTCTATGGTTCCATGCCTTATGTAGTTTTGTTATTTCACATTATGCTAGTTTCCACAGTTGCACAATATGTGCACTCGACACGAATCATCTTCTAGTCTATTACACAGGGGCAAGGCAGTTCTTCCCCCAATAGCAAACAGCTTCCATGTTGTCTTGGTTCAAACCACAGGTCTTAGTCAACCAGATACCAATGGCTGATGTGTCCTTAGTATCAGCGGGAGACTGGAGTGGGCCCTCATTTTCTTCTCACCACAGAAACTCTGCACTTTGAGGACTTGCACAGGAAAGGTGTTATCTTATTGTGGCATTATTGCCTTTGAATTGTCATATAGCGTAATTGTCATATAGCGGTGACATAAACATAACTGCTAGTATTGTGCTGCTTCGGGTTTTTTTATTACTATATTTTTCCAGACATCAAGATACATAGATGGGTATGCTATGAATATTGCATTACACAGAAAATAGTATTATGATGTTAAATAGTGAAATTAATGAGCACAGCCTCTTTATTTAATGGATTTTAATTTTTCCCCTTGTTAGAAAGGAACACTTCTACAAAGAGATTGGGTACTGTATTATTGCTTTTACATACTAGCACACCAACTTTTTAGTAGAGAATGTGCTAAACTGCAAGCCAAAAAGATTCCATTTTAAAAAAATGCAGTAGTTTTGAATTACTCCTACAAATATAATTTAAAACAAACTCTTCTGTAACAGAACCAGCCTGTTTTTTTGACACTGACATTACTAATTCACTACCTGCATTGGTTACCAAATGTTAAAAACACATGGAAAGCATTATGAAACTTCACATTTAGAAACAATTCAGAGATTTGTTGTGCTCCTTGTGATCATCTTTACAGGTAAATACTGAATGTTTTCTATGTAGGATCATATAAAGAGAAAAGAGTTCTAGTGTAAGTTTGGCACAAAAAGATCTTGTCGGACAAAGAAATGGAACCATGGACTCAAGTGGGAAGAAAAATAGAAGTAAAAATAGGAGAAAATAGGCTTGTGAAGATGTACATTATATACCAGTTTTGTAATTGAATGAGACTTTTAAATGTATTCATAAAATAAGACTTGTCATAGCTTAAAATTTCCATTCCACCGGATTTTTTTAATAGGGAAAATGGTTTGGAGGACTAATGAAAAGGATTTACTGTTTGTTCATTACAGGAATTAGAAAAATACTTATTCTAGATCAGTAGCAGGCAACTGCAAAGTAACTTAATGTAACTTTGTTTTGTCCTTTATGGTAGATTGTATTGTATAAATATTTGTTCCTAAAAGAAGGGTGGTATTAAATATAGCTTTCAGTGCTAAATTAAATAATATAGAAAATGTGTGCATCATCAGTTCAAAATTGTACAGTTTTCTGAATAATTACTTTTTAAAAGGGTAATATAAAATCAAACAGTTAAACAGTTTGGGGGGTGGGAAGGGCAATTGGGAAGTTTCATACGCTCTATAATTATTGAAAGGATTTTTTTCAAAAGAAGTTAAAATTAACTTTCCCATGCAGGTGTGCTGTTTTCTGGCTCCTCTAAGAAGATAATTTCTAAATTTTACAGTTTTGAGCTATTTGAGGTACATTGTAGCACCTGAATTTTTTTCATCCCTCTAAATTAATTAGAGATAGTATCTATGATAAATTGTTATTTTTATTGATTTTACAGCACTCTAAGACAACATAACCCCAGAATTACATTAGATTTAAGAAATCTTACTAAATAAGAAAGGGTCTGAACTAACTTCTGTTGAGATTAATGATAAAATGCCTGTTTATGTTAATGCAAGTGCTACTGGCTTTGCTTTTGACCAAAATCATGACTGATTATGCAGTGTTTTAAAGCATGAGGTTTTGTGTGAAGAATCTTTCAGAAAATTCTGTTGACCCTTTAAGTTGACTTCTGGATAAATATAATTGCCCAGTTCTTAAAAAAAGTCATTAAAGTTGATGTGAAATGATATTTATTTGAAGATGATTGTCTCCTATATATTAACAGAAATCTAAGGGCCCTCTGGTGTGAATTTCCTTTCCAGTTAGTATTTCTGATCAACACTTGATTGGAATAAGAACTGACAAAAGAAAAATATGCTGATTTTTCCTGCAGTCTAGGGGACCCTTCCAGCATCCGTTCTGGATAAGAAGATTTCAGATGGCTGATGTAGTTGATATTATCTATGCTTTTTGTGTGTGTGTCCTGATTAAACTAATTGCTTAAAGAAACAATAGCAAGTATGAATCTCTTACCAGACATTGTAATGATGTTTATTAATTTTGTATGTTGTTTTGGCTTTGATCTCCCCACGTGTTGTGTTTGTGAAAGAAGTTAAAGACCTGCCAAAGCTTATGCTAATTTAATGGTTATCTTACATTCAGTATGTATTCAATATAATTGTGTTTCCATAAGAGTTTCTCTTATATAAACTAGAATTTAACTGTTTTAGTGTTACTGTTGCATCAGGAATATTAAATGAGCTGTACATTCCTCAGTCCATTATATTAACACTTGAGACTTTTCTCCCCCAGGTTTGCATTCATCATGTTAGATCGTGCCACAGCGTTCGCTTTATAAAATCAAAATATGTGTGCGTGTTTGACAAATCTGCCCTCAAGTTTAGTCATCAACAGCGATTATTCAGAACATCTGCTGGTAATCTTTTTCATAATATAATAATTTTATTTTGCTGTTATGTTAGTGGTTTGTATATGACTGGTACGCAGCCTATTTTTGATGCATTCAGATTTTTCTGTCTGGCATATTTAATATTAAACATGCTGTATTTCCTTATTGTCTGTTTTAAGTTTCATGTGGCCAAATCGTCCAGTTTAAGCTTTCTGACATTGGAGAAGGAATTACAGAGGTGACTGTAAAAGAATGGTAAGCTCGACTTTCTTAGAAAGATACTGAGAAATTGGCAAGTAGTTGAACAGCTGTGTTATCAGTCATTTATCTGAGAATATGTTTTCTGGGTTACTAGTGAAGTTTTTCAAGTTACATTTTCCACATTTTAAAACCTTGTATATACACTGAGCTTTACATTTTGTTTATTTGCAGTCTGGTTTATTTGGGATTGAAAAAGATGGAAGGAATGGGATGCTCTAACTGCACCTGTATATAGGCTTTCCTTCAGTAATTAATGTTTCTAGAGTGCAGGAGGTCTGTCTCTTATTATACTTACTGAACTTCAGAAACAAATTACTTGTCTGGAGAATCCACAAAATTTTATCCTATACCCCTTCTCTGTTGACTTCAGTGAAAGATTTGAACATTTAAATTGTTTGTAAAAAGCCAATGATGAATGGATTAAGCAAAATCAAAGTGTACAGTGAAGGAAGGCAGTGTTGAAATGCCTTGTTCTTTGTACAAATAGGTGAAAATACCTCTCTTTGCCTAGAAGACAGTGTTTGCTACTTTCAGTTTCTTTTCTGAAACTGCATATACTGATCTTGGCAATTTGAAACGAAGAACTTCCTTAGGTTCAGACTAAGCTAGGCTCATTCTTATTTTTAGATAGTTTATAATCTGTCAAGAAAACTCTGCTTTACTAAAGTGACAGTAAAAACATATGTGTGATGATATTCTAAATCATTGTGTCATTTCACACAACAAAGGGTTTTGGAGCAGTCAGACAAAAGCAAATGTATCTATTAACTATAGCAAATATATCTATTATGTAGAATTTGTCTTCTTATCTGGAATGCATTTTCATGTTGTGGGGATATACATAACTGAACTTATCAAACGAATACACAGCATAGATTTTTACACTTAATACATTTTACACTACCCTGTGTCTTTTCTGTTAGGTATATAAAAGAAGGTGATAGCGTGTCTCAGTTTGATAGCATCTGTGAAGTGCAAAGCGATAAAGCTTCTGTTACTATTACTAGTCGTTATGATGGCATCATTAGAAAACTCCATTACAATTTAGATGAAATTGCTTATGTTGGAAAACCATTAGTGGACATTGAAATTGATGCTTCAAAAGGTATTGTAAGCGTTTTTTTTCTCCTGTATATTTTATGTTTGTTGTCATAAAACCACCAGTGACAGAGGAGTTTACTGACTCCTCTAAATCTTAAAACTTAATTTTTTTTTTCCCCTTTTATAAAGTCAAGAAAGTTAAGTAGAAAAAGCTGTGATAATATATTTGGATTTAAAATCTCAAAAGCCAGATATTTCCTATTGAAAATTTAGCTTAAGCAGCAGCCTTTAGCATGTTGTGTTCCCATCCACAGTAGCTGAAAGTAAATGTTAAAATCTTCAGCTGTCACAGAATCATAGAATGGCTGAGGTTGGAATTTAACGAATGCTTATAATGTAGTAAAGTTAAAATTTTTCTTTTTGTTTGCAGGTGTTGCCCCAGAAGAAGATGTTGTTGAAACACCTCCTATGTCTCATGAAGAGCACACTCACCAAGAGATAAAAGGTCACAAAACATTAGCAACCCCTGCAGTTCGTCGTCTGGCCATGGAGAACAATGTAAGTTTGCTGAATCAGGTCCTGCTGCATTTTATCTGTCTTTTGTATAGAAGTTTGACTGACTAGGGGAACGCTGATCTACAGTAAAGTGCAGTGAGAAATTACGTGTTTTCAAATACATTTCAAATATGTGAAAACTGTAAAAATGTGTAAAATCTTTATGAATGTGTAAAAAATTTATGAATGTGTAAAAAATGTGTAAAATCTTTATGAAGAGGATCGTGCTTTCTGATGATTATGGTAGATAGGAAAAGAATTACTGGGCTTAAAATTGCAGCGAGGATGCTTTAGGCTGGACATTAAGAAAACTTTTTTAGGATAAAAATAATAAATTATCAGAATAGATTCCTGGGACAGAGGAAGGAGGAGGGGAAAAATGGAATCTCAGCTTTAGCTGCCTTGTTCTTGGTTTTCAGATTTGTATTAGA